ATTCCTGCTTCCCTGGGACTGCACTCCCAAGAAAGTGCTGGTGAATCAACTTTGGCTTCAGGCTGTTTCTAGGGAATCCTGGCTAAGACAAATACCATGGTTCTAATTTTAATGAATGACTGTTCATCTTCATCTAGGTTCACTTTTATTGTTTATTTTGGTTCCAGAAGAGTTAGATTTGAAGCAACAAAGAGAAACTTTTGCATGTTACCAATCACAGTAGACTTAATTAAATTTCTCTCCGTATATGGCATCCATCTTAGAACTGCTGACCGCTGCAATTTGTTTCAATGTAACTGAGAGTGGTACATTTTAAGGTCAACAATTATAATGGATCTCAAGGTTATTTGGGTCTTCTTTGAGGTTTTAACTGAATTATAAGATTTCTTATTAACCCAACTTTGCAAAAATAAATATATTTGATAAATAAATTTAAAGAGAAATGTAATACACTGCAATCTCTGTAAAGTACAACTCCTTGTATTTTGTCTATTGGCAAGGAAAGGGGGAGGGAAGGGAATAGAGAAGGAAATTTTTTTTCACTGACTTTAGAGGGAAACAGTATACTATTATTCTCTCCAATTTCTGAGCTTTAAAGTCCTATTTAAAAAACTAATATTCATTTGTTCAATAGTTCCAGTTAATATTCTGAAGTTGGATTTTTTAAGGCCTATTATATATCCTGCCTTAAGACATTACTAGCAATATCAGAAGCACATTGAAGATTCTACTTGTTTACAGAAGTCGTGTGTCTTAATTCAACATGACTCTCTAGTCAGAGCTAACGGTTCTTTGTTCTAAAGAAATAATTCTGACCCTTTTCTTGTTGATTCTGAAGCAAGAAATGTGAAGCCCAGGGAAGAAGCCAAGATAGAGGGAGGTTCATTGTAATCTATGATCGGTTGACATATATTTGGTTTTATCACCACTAATATCAGCCCTGTTATCATTGCTCCTCTTAGGGTTGGCTTATCAACTATTCCTACCCAATTTCCAACCTGTGTGATTCATTAGGACTAAGACTGAGGATAACTGTGGCTTCTGCATAGCCTGAGAAACTGTTCATGACCTGAGGACAGCAACCATTCCATGAAAGCCAAGATGCTCACCTGTGGCATATATAACATGACCGATCTTTGTGCGTGGGGCAACCTGTTCCTCCTCCAATCCCATAAACATACTGGTTGCTTTTAGAGGAGTTTTCAGCAAAATAAATCCCAGCACCAAACATTCCTCCTATGTATGCATGTCGCTCATCAAACCCTTTATGAATAATGGCATTAATGAAAGGAGAACCTAAAAATATAAAGATAGTAAAATTAGTTTTTGGATACTTTTCGAGAGTATCAATTAGTTACATACTATTTAAACTTGGCAGATTAATACTAAGCAATTAATATTACATAACTAAAAAGTTTATTTTGTAAGGTATCTATTATACATAATTTATAATGTACTAGAACAGCGGTTCTCAACCTGTGGGTCGCCTAAGACCATCGGAAAACAATATATAATTACATATTGTTTTGTGATTAATCACTATGCTTTAATTATGTTCAATTTGTAACAATGAAATTGGGGGTCACCACACCATGAGGAACTGTATTAAAGGGTCACGGCATTAGGAAGGTAGAGAACCACTGTACTAGAATCTTATCAGGACCCCAAGTGCTCACCAAGCTATTATTTTGCAAATGGCATCAGATTTTTAGGTAGCAAAGTATAATGTGGCTTTGAAAATACAGATTATTTTATACCCAATCTTTAAGCAAACACAGATAATCTGATAAACTAAAACAATTATGCTAAACTATAATAAAAAAATTTCATTTTCTACATGGCTCAACTTGTAATATAAGTTCTGAAACAATTTCAGATAATTTGTGTTCACATTAAAAAGCCCGTATAAGAATGTAATGCATTAGAAAACTGGAATTGATTGTAATTATTTGGGAAAAAACCAAACCATTTTTAACATAAGATGAATATAGTCAGTAACACAAGCTTTTCATTCTGCTGGAATGTGTGAAAGCCTGAGGGATGTCTGTAATTACTGGCATGATACTCACCATGAAATAACATGCGCTCATTGTGATGGTTGTGATTCTCTTCAGACACTTCCTTTTGTCTGTGACAGAATCGTTCCCTCAACTTCTTGTTGACAACTTTTTGAATCTTTAAGGATGAGGAAGAAAGAAGCCATTGAGTGTAATGTACGTTAATCAGCAGTTTATGATTTAAATTAAAAGTATGTTAGAGGAAGGTCCAATTTTTGTTTTGTTTGCTTAAAACATTATTAAAAAACTTGAGGCCCGATGCACAAAATTTGTGCAAGGGCCTCGGCCCTCACAACCCCGGCTTCGTCCGGAAGGTCTTCCAGACGGTGGTTCTGCTATTTGGTCTAATTAGCACATTAGCTCTTTATTATATAAGATAATAAAGATGCCAGATTAGTGTAATTCAGTTGATACTCTGGTTTTTAGTGACGTACTTTAAAAAAAAAATCTTTATTGTTGTAAGTATTATATTGGTCCTTCTTCCCCCCCCCCCCATTAACCTCTTAAACTTGCTCCTGCCATACCCTTCCCCCGTAGGCCCTTAGTGCCCCATTGTCTGTGTCCACGGGTTATGCATACAAATTCATTGGTTGATCTCTCCCCACCCACCCTCCTCTGCCTTCCCTCTGAGGTTCAACAGTCTGTTCATGCCTCTATGACTCTGGGTCTATTTAGTGACATAATTTTTAGGAATGGTTTTTGCTTGTATTCTGCACTAGACCTGGCTATACCTCAGAGCTACCTGAGGAAGAGGAGGAAGAAGTGGAGGAAAGAAAGGTGGAAGAAGAAGGAGAAAAGAAGAAAAGAAAGCAGGAGGAAGAGGAGGAAAAAAGAAAGGAAACATGAAAGAAGAGGGAAAGGGGGATATCTGTAATATTTTCAAAAATAAAGATATATTTTTTAAAAATTAAAATAAAAGAGGAGGAGGAGGGAAGAGGTTATTTCTAGGCTCCTCCCCAGACTTATTGAATTTTAGGATACAGGGGCCTGTCAATCTGTATATTGCAAAAAGCTCCCTGGGCAATTCTGATGAGCACTGGTATAACTTCCACAGGTCTAATAACCCAAAGGATTAAATTGATTCTCAGTAGGCTATATTCATCTTCATGATATCCCTTTGGAAAAAAGCATATAGCAGTCATCTATTCCATATTATTAATTAAGGCACTGAGATGAGGAGATATATGCATTCTGATATAATCACTGACTCAATTAGATGGAAAAATCCAGGCCTTTATTGCTACTTTGAAATGGTGATAAAAATGACTGTTAGCTATGGTCTGAATTGATGGATGAGCAGGGAATCTCATCACTCTATCTGCATCACCAATACCAGCTGACTTGGCCTGTGTGTGTAGCTTTGATGTTTCCTGGGTGTCTCAACGTGAAGTACGATCATGAGGGTTAAGACTGTATCGTAGCGAGGAGGGTGACACATGACTGCAGGGCAACGGGTGAATGATCATCCTTGATTTGAAAACATGACTTTAAAAACCAATTTTAATCATTATTTATAATTGCTTTTCAGAAAGCCCTGCAATCCAATTTTCCTCCTGAAATTTTAAAAACTTACTCGAATGACATTGTATCTGTTGAAGATGCCGCCGGCATTACCACCATCTCTGTGTTCTCGAATCGTACTTTGCATCTACAGAATAAAATAAAATAACTTTTGAAAATATGCCAGTGTATATTCTAAAGATACTCTTTCCATTGTTAACATTTCAATTCTATTATATTGCTTCACTGATGAGTCTAAAATTTAGCACTTCTAAATAAATATGAGTCCACTATAAATTGATCAATAAGTTTAGTAGGTATTTTTGGTGAGAAAATAATCATAAACATAAATATTAAACAGCTGCATTTTCTTTTCCTTTTTTAATAAAAGCTTTGAAAGATTTTTCAGTAAACACAATGGGGAAACATAAAACATCACATTAAGTCACCTACATGACTATTTTATGTTATTGAGAATGGAAGCAACATTGTGACTAAGTCAAACTAAAACTCCTCATATTCTATTAATATCTCACTGGACAAATGCTAAAAATAAACAAAGAATTTTTAAATAAGTCAATAATTTTTGTTTCCTAGGTGAAATATTCCATATTCTACAGACCAGGGAAAGTTGAAAATCATATGTAACTAAGTGGAATAACTTTCTTCTCAACACTACTCATCCTTCTTCCACTTTCCAAATTAAAAAGAATTATTATAGAAAAGTAAAATGTTTTGAAGACCTAAATTTCTCATAGAATTGACTCAAAGAGTTAATTCTCTAACTTACCACTCCATTTCTGAAGTTATTTACCACATTTTGACATTATTATCAGAATTTATTAACTACTAGGAGATTAGGCAATAAGACATTAGGAAACATGATGCTTTCCTGAAAAACTGGCTCAGGATGAGCTGAAATACTAGCCTAAGGTACCTATCCTGAGTTTCCAGAATGGGAATAATAGGAGCACTATTTAAAAAGAAGAAAAAAACAAAAATGTAGGCATGCCTTTCCATGCAAAATAATGCCATTAGGCACCTTGCTTATTCTGTGTCAGAGCGAGGCAGAAGCCATTGGTAGAGAGGGATCTCTATGGCACCCTTCTACCAGCAGGTTCTGACAAACTGCCTTACTATGGTGCTTTTAAAAGCATTGTGACTGAAGAAATGAAAGGTGACTCCAGTCATGAGGCATACTTGTCTAAGCATATGTGAAAATTAGGCATATTATTTTATAATCATGTCCTGTAACACTACATAAAAATCAAGATGAAAATATATTTGCTATGTAGGAGGCAAGATCCTTACTCCACATCATTTTTACGTAGCATTTCAGCAATATAAAAAAATAGTCCTAATAGGGTCCTTACTTACATGGGTTTCAAGAAAGTCTACAGAATACTGACAGATCTGAACCATCCAATGGAAACCCTAGGCTCACGATGAGAAGCCATGTGGCAGAGTTCTAGTCCACAGTCCTATTCTAATTTTGGCAATATTCCACCACAATGGCCAAGGGAGACAGAATGTAAGCAAGTCAAAGTGAGACAAGCTTACCTAATCTCCTGGAAAAATAGGTTTCAGGAAAAGATAACTAAAAATTCTGATGTACATTACCTCTTCTTCTACTGACTGATACTCCTTATCCTCTGGAGCAAGATCCAGCAAAATAGTTCCCTGGTTAACACAGTGAAAAGTCAAATAAGGGTTGGTGCCTGTAGGAAAGAAAAGGTAACACAGTAAACAGGAGTCCACATTATGCAGTTTCTATTTTAGGGAAAACTTTGTCAAAAGTAATTGATATTTTGGAAGAAGTCTAAACTATTTGTAATTTGAACCTAATTATGTACAATTATATAAATCAAGTAAATCCAAAGACATGTGAAATAATGGAGATATGTTTGGGGATCAATTTTATCTGTTCTTAAGGAGTTCCTTGTACACACAACAGGGTTCAACAATTACCTGTCTAACTAAATTTGATCATAAACATTCATGAAGTTATGTTTGATACAAAAGAGAAACACACTGTAATTATAATGTATTCAGGTCTAAAATATAAGAAGTATCCTTTTCTAAGAACTCTGTGAGATGGCTTGAAATGGTCACTCATAATAAGTTTAAAATACATTATTATTGTTAATTTCATTATCCTTGTTCCTTTAGTACAGATAAATAAAAAGACTCAAGATCAAAACCACTAACATTTAGTTTCATGTCATTCCTGCAACTGTATTAGCTCTGCAGACTAATTGACTAATTCCAGTTACTTCTTTCCTCTCCCCTTGCTTTCCTACAGTGAAAGCACTTCTAACAAATAGAGAAATGATAAATACGGAGGCATACAAAGATCAAAGATAGGAGGCTTGCAACAGCAAAGTGTGATGGCAAAAGACAGAGCTGACAGGTGTAAGGGAGGGAGAAAGGTTCAAGGTGAGGTAAGAGAGGAGGTCAGATTATGAAAAGCCATGTTGTGAATATCTGACTTTAGCCTAAAAGTAACGGGAGTCTGTTGAAGGATTATTAGCAATGAAATGATATGATCCCAATCATGTTGAAACGAGTCTTCTGGTAACACTGCAGGGAAGGTACGGAAGGGAGGAGAAGGCGAAGGCCGAAGATAAGCTGGAAGGCGGTTGTGATATTCCAGAAGAGAAATGATGGTGACTTGGATTAGGTGACAGCAGTGGAAAAGGACAGAAGTGTAGATTCCGGAGACATTTAAGATATAAAGTGTGTGAGAGAGGGAAAACTGACTCAATCCCAGCTAGAGCAATTAGAGGAGAGCAAAGCCAGTAAGTGGGATGGGGAAGGCAGTTGAGCACATGAGCTCTGGGGTCAGACCACCTGAGTGCAGATGCCAGCCCTGACGTTTCTCTTGTACCATAAATATCTGAAATGTATTTTTTCTGAATAGCTTACCTTGTTGTCCACCTAAGAGTCTTTCTACTCCTTTGATTAGTTTATGGCGGTGTCCATATGCATTGATACCTATTTCTTTCAACTCTTCATGACCCATATCAGCCAATACATCTAGGGTAATCTGAAAAGTGAAACAAAATTAATTGATTAATCTTTAATAGTTCCTCAGATGATGAAAATTCTTCCATTTGTCTTCATTGCTATCTATGTATCTATTCAAATTAAGAAAATTCTGTTTCTATTATAAGCATGAACTTAAAATTTTCTTAAAGTTTTCTTGATAATTTTATCAGCTTTCTGCTCACTTTAAATACTCCTTAATTGCATTTAGTAAATGGAGAATTAAAATGGGACAAACAATGCTAAAGAAATAAAAGATCATCATTGCTGTATTTCCTTTTCATTTTTAAAAACCAGCACCTTTTGCTTGCTTCAAGATACAAGAGGGAACAAACAGTAGGCCTGAAAATGGGGAAATACCAGATACTAGTATCCAGCAGGTAGACAATGTGAATGGTGGGGAAATGGAGAGGTGTTTAGCACAATGAAACAGAATGTGGCAAAAAGGAGTAAGTGTATTAGGTAGTGAGGACTTATATAAAAGTAAGGAGGAATTCCCAGAGCTAAGAAATATTCAAGCACAAAAAAAAGACTGCCTTACAAAGTAGTGAAATTTATATCATAAATATGTAGTTTCCTTATAGACCATTTTATATAGAAGCTATGTAAAGAATTCCAATTTGAAGATGAGAGTTGATGGATTTTAAGTTCTCTTATAAATTCTCAGATTTAACAATTCCTGAAGCCTAACATACATTCTATATTTGTACAAAATAGTTATTGTTAATTTTTGGTTATTCATTCTTATAAATGCAGATGATTCAAAATTATCTAATTCTTTGGTTGACTAAGAGTAAGTGTGACTGACTCCACCGCCATTGAGTGGCAGTGCTCTGAATGTACAGGGTGAAATCATGGCTGACCACATTTCTTGAGGGCTGAACATGCAATTTTCCAGCTCAGAAGAAACTGGTTCTGTGACCATCCAAATACTACTTCACAAGATTAGAGTTTTTCTTTCCTTGGAAAACTGAGAAATCTTTTTACAGATACCCCTTTTTGAACTCAAATGAGATACTTTTTATCTATCCATAGCTTCTCTACCTTTACACTTGTATATAATATTTAAAAGACTGATAAATTAGGCCTGGAGCTCTTCTGATTTTTATTGTTAGAATGAAATATTATATAATGAGTCTGATCTTCTCAGTACAACAAGCATTCATCACTCAGTCTTTGGAAATAATTTGCTATATTGCTCCTAAATGGCCATTTAAGAAATAATTGCTCCACTGCACAAAATGGGCAATTCACTTCCAATCACCCAAAGGAAGTTTTTAGCAGCCTTTAAAAAGCAACAGTTCTGAAATATACATCTTTGAGACAAATAGTTCATTATATAGTAGGAACCTTTATATGTTTGGCTAGATGGGATTTTAATATAATTTGGAACCATGCACAAGGTTTTCATTATTGACATCCCACTGTTTTCGTTCTAAATATTCTAAACTTCAGTTCAAATAAGGATTGATGTAAAAACAGGATTTAATATCTATGTGGTAGCTTTAATTCATACAATGCTTAAGCTTTTCTGAATTAATACGTATAGTACATATCTGGAAGCAGAAACCAGGTCAGCAAATTACCGTATTTGCCCATTATCTAGCTCCAATCATAAAATAATTACCTCATTTCATTCCTCAAAATAACCCATCAATAATGAGATGAATAAGTGCCAACAATTTTTGGAAAGAAAATAATGATTTTTAAAAAATTCTTTTGAGGCAGTTTCATAGCCTAAGTTTTGACATGTAATCAAACATATTAAACCAGACTGCTTATATAGATATGACAAATAACAATGAAAGACTCCCATCATCTGTTAGACTATTTGGGGGAGAGATATAAAATACTGGATTTCTCCTGGCTTCTTTAGAAATTTGTTGTGGGTATAAAAATAGCAGTTTAGAAGAAGAAAAAAAAAGTGAAAAATAACTCTTAATATTAAATGACTCAAGAGAGCTTACCTGTTCTGTTTCAAAGATGTCTCGAAGGTGTTCAAGACCAAGGCTTTTTAGAAATTGGCTGATATTCATGTCAAGACCTGCAACTAAAACAGACATAAAGTTTCAGAAAAAAGTTTATCAATCCAAAGTAAGTTCCAGTATTTTTTAAAGCCATGGCTCTCTGACACCTGTGGGTGTGCAGATGACTTTATATAGCATAAAATAATCCTAAGTTTCATTCAGATACTTCAAGTTTTTTCTGAATTTGGTTGAGAAGTAAAAGCAGTTATCTTTATCAAATCAGTAGTATTTATATTAATTTTAATATTATAGTGCATAACATAATGCTTTTAGTGTAATATTCAACTGTAGATATAAAATTCCAAATTTATTCAGCTACCATTTTAGTTTTCATTCCTTAAATAATCTGTTTTTCCTGATATATTTTAGTAATAAGACCCAATTTCCAATGGTTGGAAATTGATGTACTGAGATATACACAAGTAAGAACAATGTAGATGCCAAGACATTTATTCTATGAAGACATAATTCTCATAAGCTGCTGTATATATGAAAACCTACAGAGAGTTAAGATATCTGTAAGTGAGGCGTTCAATGATTACCAATAGAAAAAAAGGGAATCTGTTAATTAAAACAAACAAAAGAGAAGAACCAAATCAGTACTCCCAGGGCATACTCACCTTCTCCTTCCTTCCTTTCTGTGCCCGCTGCACCATCCCCCGTGTTGGACGCCCCTCCTACTGCCAATTCCGCTAAAGGGACAGTGAGGTTATCTATGCTGCTGGCAGCGGACAGGCAGGAAGGGGTGGATGCTGGTGAGATGAGAGAGGCACTCACTACGGTAGCCTGAGGTTTAAAACAGGTAGGTAAGGCCTCTGGGGGCATGGCATCTATCAGCAAAGCTCTGATATCGTCAGCCTAAAAGTGATACAAAAAAACACAAAAATACCACATTTTAAAGTGGTAAGCTTTTCACTAAAGACCAAGTGCTTTGTGAATTCTTTTCTCCTGTTTGTTTCTAGTCATTTCTTCCTCTTCCCTTCCCTTATCCACAGCTATGGAGACTATAGTAGTTTCAGTAGGTAGAACTGGAGAAACTATTAATTAAAAAAGTATTTCATTTTCTGAGCACTGAATGTACAGTTTGAAGGCTATAGTTAAGAACACTATTATACCTATACTTGAAATATGCTGAGAGTAGAGTAAGTGTCCTGGCCAGACTAGAAAAAAAGAGTTAACTATGAGAAAAAAATCTACGAATGTGAACTATGTTGACTCCTGAAAACACTTTTAACATTAAGTGAAAAGTATACACATAATTGTTCAGATTACACGTGTATTTAAAGGATATGCAAGTTAATAAAGATGTGAAGAGTTAAAAATATTTCATCTTTCATTTTAAAAAGCACATTTCAGAGTGTTAATTTTTAATCTTTGCTTTAGAAGTAAGTAGTTTCCATATTTATTTACTGTATTTTGTTTATACTTAAGCAACTACAATAGTTTTTGTTCAGCTATTTAGTGCACATGATTTAATGCACAATTAAAATCTGATGAACTTTTAGAGGAACAGTATTTTAATTTGGCTAGCTATTCATGAACTTCATAGTTTGTTAGCCATAACAGGTGTCAGAGGATGTGCGAGACAGCTTCCAAAGACAGCCCGACACCCATCCCTCCTCTGTATGCATGTCTGTTTCCCTTCTCTAGAATCTGGCTTGCCCATCAGTTGCTGTGACCAATAGAATGCAGAGGAAGTGATGGTCTGAGGCTTTTGAGCCAGGATTTCAAAGGACAGCTTCTACTTTTCCTTCCTTAGAAGCTATCCTCCATGCTGTAAAGAAGTTTGGGGTAGACTTCTGAGTGATGCATACCATGCAGAGAGGCCCTTAGGATGAAAGGCCATCCTGGACACTGCAGCTTCAGCTGAGGTCCAAGTAAGGGAAGTGCATAGACAGCAGAACTACATCGCTGAACCCAGTCAACCCACAGAATCACTGTATGAAGCCACTCACTCAATTTTGGTTAAGCTACTAAGTGTTTTGGAAATCATTTGTTACTTAGCAAAAGATACATGAAACAGAATGTGTCTTGGAAATGTATTTCTGGCTTAAAAATATGGTTAGTTATTGTGACCATTATTAACTCCCTGATTTTCAGAAAGTTCAGGAAGATAATGCGTGTTTTAACTTTGTAGTTAAATAATATTTAACCACAAAAACTAAATTCTTAGTTTTGAAAATATTTCTACAGTATATCAGTTTATTTTTCCATCTTCAGAAGAGTAATAGACTGCCCAGAAGTAAATTTTTTCTAACTATCCCAAAGCCTCAGGTAAATTATCATGAACAACAGTTGCTCTAGAGCAGCGGTTCTCAACCTGTGGGTCGTGAGCCCTTTGGCGGTCAAACGATCCTTTCACAGGAGTTGCCTAATACCATCCTGCATATCAGATATTTACATTACGATTCATAACAGTAGCAACATTACAGTTATGAAGTAGCAATGAAAATAATTTTATGGTTGGGTAACAACATGAGGAACTGTATTTAAAGGGCCAGAAGGTTGAGAACCACTGCTCTAGAGTAATACACCTAATGTAGAAGGGATAAGATATTTTTGTGAGTATAGTTCTTTGAAATACACTCTACGTATTTTTCTATGATTTATCTTTTCCCTCCAAGTTAAACATGGAAAAAAGAATTACATTAGCATACACTACTTAGTTTTTCTTAACAGAGTTTTAAAGTATATTTAAAAAGCAAATTAAAAAAATTTCAGAAGGAAGGAAGTCTGTTCTTATCCTAAGTGAAAAATGCATTTTAATACTAAAGGCCCAGCTAGGCCCTGCAATGTAATATCATCTCTGAAAGTATAAAAAGCAAGTGTGAGGATTTTGAAATGAGGACTTACTGTTGCCAAATCTAAAGGTGTCTGACCTTCTTGGTTCTTCATAGTTGGATCTGCTCCATGTGCTAGGAGGAGGGCACATAACTGGGTCCTTCCTTTTTGGGCTGCTTCATGAAGAGGAGTAAAAGCCCACTTATCTGTTGCATTTACACATGTGTTGTATTTTATCAATAATGCTGCTATGTCCACATGCTGAAGAAAAGAAAAGGATGTAAAGAGTTAAAAAAGATTACCTGGTAAAGCTCCATCATAGACATTTCCTTTATTTCACATTTCATTCCCTCTAGATCTCTATGAAGAAGTTTATTCTATAAAAGGAGTATTTACCCTACCCGCCTCCCCTGTATTTTGGACTACATCCTTCCTTGCCTCCTCCAGGATATCAGTTCCACAATTATTATTTTGTCCTGTAATCCTAATTCTTCACGGGAAAATTTAACATTTTTATTCAGGCTTCTAACATATTCAGGCCTATCTTAAAAAACAAACATTTCTCTTCTGACCCATTACTAGTATAATCTGGTTTATTTATTAAAATAGTCATCTCAAAGCTTCTTAGCCTTTGGGAACATAACATAACACAACAAAACCGTATTTTACAAAAACTAGTCTGTCAGGTCCAAAATGACTTGGGGGGTGAGGTTATTAGCAGCAGACACATTACTAATAACCTGGGCATGAGATGATGAGATCCTGAACTGTGGACTGTGCCAGTTGGAGAAGGAAAAAGAAGAGCTAAATCTGAGATATTTTGAAGGAGAAAAAATATTGGCTTTTATAAAGACAAATTAACTACAGAGGAAGGAAAGAAGAAAAGTCCTTTGTAGGAAAAGTTTAAGTAGGAATCCTATCTAATAAAAGACAAAAAGGGTAATTGACCATACCTTTGCTACGCTTCCCATTGGCTAATCAGGGCGATATGCAAATTAACCACCAACAAAGATGGCGGTTAATTTGTATATGTAGGCTCCAAAGCCGGCTGAGCAGTGAGGCCTCATGGCCCCGGAATCAGCAGAGCCGCGAGGCCTTACGGCCCCAGGATCAGCAGAGCTGTGAGCCCTCTGGCCAGAGCCCAGCCAGAGCGAAGGCCTGGGTCCCAGGTGCCGGAGGAAAACTGGTGCCAGCAGCCAAGGGAAGGAAAGGCCTATTGCATGAATCTCTTCATGCAACAGGCCTCTAGTCTATAATAATAAAAGTGGAATATGCTAATTAGACCAGACAGCACAACAATCTTCTGGGAGTCCTTCCAGATGACCTTCAGGACAAAGCTGCGGCTGTGAGGGCTGAGGCAAGCTGCCACGGCTGCAAGGGCCGAGCTCCTTGCACGAATTTCGTGCATCAGGCCTCTAGTGAAACTATAAGAACAGTAAGGTTCACTTGGGGTATACAGTTTTTGAGGTAAAATATCAAAGCCATGATGTTCTGTAAATGGTCAGACACAAAAGGTTGAAGCACAGATAAGAAGGCATCAGTTATTCATTCAATTACCCACTCACCCATCAACCAAATATTTATTGAACACCTACTAAGTGCTTGGCACTGGAGGTAGGAACTCCAGGGAAATGACAAATTGGAATACTGAGTTGAAAGCTATAGCTACTTGATAAATGAGCTCATTAGGAAAAGGAAACAGAAAGATAATCACAAGGGGGATAAAGCCTTAAGAACAAGAATATTTTGGAAAAGGAGAGTGGAAGACAAAAGGGACAATAATAACAGCAGAACTAAAAAGAGGCAGGGCTATGAAAAACAATGTAGGAGAAAGTTTCAGGAGAGTAGGTTCTCTCAAATAATACCAAAGATTTCAGCTTCTTTAGAAAGTCCTTATAAAACAAGCTTAAGACAATGGATTATTCAAAGGTGATACTGATGCAATGATTAGGCTTTTGAGAATAATAAAAATTAACTTTATTCTTATATACACATTTAAGGATGCTAGTTTGGTTACCACTAAAGTACTTCTGAAACCCTTTTCAACACCAATATTCTATAATCTTTGTGCAATTGGCACATTGGTGTTCTTTATGGATACATTTCCTGGAATAACTTGATTACTTTAAAAAATATACCTGTTTTTATTGATTTCTAGAGAGAGAGGAAGGAAGAGGGATAGAGAGAGAGAGAAACAATGATGAGAGAGAAACATCATCAAATGACTGCTTCCTGCACATGCCCCACTGGGGCCTGAGCCCGCAACCTGGCCATGTGCCCTGATGGGGAATTGAACTGGTAATCTCTTGTTTTCTGGGTTGACGCTCAACTGCTGAGCCACACCAGCCAGGCTAACTTGATTACTTTTGATAATTAACTCAGAAGAACATCTGTTGAGAATAAATTTCTAGCTCACGCTATTGCTCAACTTCAAAATATTGAGTTATCTGAACTGAATTTCATGAGAATGGGAAGAGACGGTGAAAGGGAAGACAAAAATCCCAAGATGGGATTTAGGGCATGTTTTTTCCTATTAAGACAATTTTGGCTCTCTTAAAGGTACCTATTTCAAAAAGAAAAGGCACTTTTTTTCCCCTGAGGTATCATTAAAGTTTTTTGTTGTTTTTTTAACATAATACAAATACTTATTCATTTTAAGAAAGGTAATTTGAGAATACAAAGAGAAGGAAACTTATTAGAAAATACAAGTTAGATTTGTATAGATTTCTAATAAAAGATTCCATATTTACTTTGACAATATAAAGACCAAAAAAAATAAAAAAAGCATAATCAGGGGAGAATTACTGAGAATAGGATGTTTTGTGATATTTTTGGGATTTTGAATGATATCATCATTATAAAGCTAATCTTAACACAAAGATAAAAATAGGCACCATCTATAGTACTACGTCAAAATCACTTAAAACAAAACCAAACCTAATCATTTATCTCCCTTATTAGAAGGATACATCTTAGTTATTTTGTTTAGTTAACCCAAAAGCATGGGATAATTTCAAGCTTCTTCACAGTAAAGTTACAAATTAAATTGTGTTTCTGATATTAATTTTACTTTACTCTCATGGGTACGGAAAGAATAATACAATTTGGTAGACTAATTTTAACAGGCTTCCAAAATTAGTTAGTCCAAGGAAAATTATGTGTATGTGTATAAAGTGTATTGCATATATGGTGTATATTATTAAACTTTCTTTGAATTTATAGTTTATGCTTGAGGAAACCAGTTACAGGTTTTTAAAATTTGCTGACAAAAGTCTGACTGAAAGAGTGATAAATAAAAAGGAGTATATTACTACCTACGTACACTAAAAACACAATTATTAAGTTTTTTAAATATCTACACCACTGAGGCAAAAATAGAAACTGAAAGTTAAGGCTGACAAATGCTATAAATAAGCTACAGGTCAATTCTATACAACAGATAAGAGCAAAGTCCTGAAAAGTGAAATGGTGACGATACTAAGTACTGGCAGGCCTAGGAAAGGAACTGAACTCTTAGAATGTTTCCAGGAGAAACAGCCCATTTAATATGGATTCAGAATCCAGCTTTCAAATGTTTTAAATGATAAATACAATGTAAAAAGGGCCCTAATTTAACGTGGGTGGGAAGCAGAAGAAAAACATGCTTGGTTTTTGCAGGGGGCCTGAGGGAGTCAGGATATTCTCATTCTGAAGGGCATGGAAGAAGAGAGTAAGAGAATATGAAAATCACAGTGACTAGTTTTTATTTATACTTTGTCAGGCATTGGTAAACCTGGAAACTGTCCTCATCAGTAGTGATCCCAACTGTGAGACCCCTGGTATGCACAGTCTGGCATCTGTGAGTTTTATAGCCCAATCGGGACTGAGTGGATGAGCAGACAAGCACAGCAGCGTTCATGCTCACCCTGTGTGATTCACTGGCCTGAAGTGGCCCGTGGTGACTCCAGGCAGTCAGTTCCAACATATGGCACTGAGGCAGCCAATACATCCCTCTTCCTCTTTTGGCTGATGATTAGTTACAGTGCTTTGGGAGCATGGCCGGACTTTCACTGACGGTTTTAGCTAGTCAATTCAAATTCTGTGACACTATATATACCAATAGCTCAACAATTTACTTGGTTATTTTAAAAATGTGGATGATAAATATAAGCAACCACAATTTCCATGTCTACAAAGGATTCCTGGCTTTTATAATTTCTAAAATCTACTTGCAGTAGAGTATTATCTGTATCAATAAGTATTAACTGAGCTGCCATTATATATTTATGATTTTTTTATAATAATAAAAGCATAATATGCTAATTAGACTGAATGTCCTTCCGGACATCCTTCCTTCTGGACAAAGCTGCAGCAGGCAGGGGCCACAGCAGAGGTGGCAGAGGTCCCCAGCCGTGGCGGCGGCAGGCAGGGGCCAGGGCCAAGGCTCTTGCACAAATTTTGTGCATCGGGCTTC